CTTGAATACTGACTCTGATATAGAAAGTGATAACGTTTGCAGTGACTCTGATAGTGACATAGTTCCTGTGAAGCGACGAGTAAGGCAATTACAAATATCTAGCGACAGTGAGACAGAAGAAAATTAATTCCGACTAGTACGATACCCATGTCCATATTTAATCTAAATCCGATAATTCTAACTTTCTTAATTTCATCGTCGAAATGAAGACAAAAAGGGCTCAGAATTTTTTACTTTACCTTTTACTTATATTATACTTATTTTACTTAAATTCTAACTAAATGTTCAACTAACGCGCGTTATAAACAAATGTTTAATGAATTCTATAGGTGTAGGCATGGGGTATTTTCTAAATATTTTGGTGACAGTCCGCCTCCATGTATGGGTAAGTGTGATGTGTGTAAAGATAAGAATACTGTTCAGTCAAGGATAGCCCAGTTCGAAATGACTCACACTAGATCGTCAAGATTTCAATCTAAGTCTAGTAATAACTCGGACAGTATCGCATTATCAAAGTATGATTACGAGTAAGTGATATATGTATGTCCTTTCACAAAATGAACTTCCATCTTTTTACATATTTTTTATTAGACTTTAATTATGTTGATTATATAGCGATGAAGAAGGCGAAGGGAGATCGGTTCCGAGAGAAAGAATTTTGGCTGAGGAGAAACGTGAAGCCAAAAAATTAATAGAAGAACAGTTTGCTATTCGAAGAAATTCTAGTCGGATCAATGAGGTACGTGATGCACATGTACCCATAAGCCTTACTCATAAGCTAGATTGATTACGTCTTTTCTTAGCCCATGTGATGTTTCAGATAAAAAAACAAAATCTGGAGGATGCTAAACATGCGAACGTTCGGGCAGCTGAAAGTACTGATACAAAGATAAAAGGTTTAGCTGTACTAGTTCGAGAACATTATTGCGCTCAATTAAAATCAGCATTACAGGCAAATTGGAACAAGTTCGCAGAAAATCATTCTCAGATTCAAGAAGATGATATCCATAATATAGCACGCAACATGGAGTACAAAGTGCTGTGTAGTAGTAAAATTGCAAACAAATATAAGCTTGATATGTTTAAGTCGGTACGTAATTTAGAACTTCACAGTGTCATAAAAATGTAGTAGTTATAATGAAATTTATTTATAATTAATATCACAGATTTCTTGTGTACAAAAGTGTACCGATTCCGGCACGCTCCACGAATGTTTACGCGACTTTAATATAGACTCTATTAATGAACTCAATAATCGAGGGGATATGTACAATATTCGCTTAGATCAAGATATAGATAAGAACGTACCGCGCTCTGCATTCAGAACTGCCTTAGAATTTATGAAGGACGAGAAACTATTAGCAAATAAGTCTACCATTAAAAAATCTTCATTTGACGAGAACATTAATACACGACAAGTAAAAGCTAATATTAGTAAGCCCGGTTTCACCTTTACTGAACAAGTAGACAATGAACGAAATACTAGTTCGGGAGAAGGTAAAAGTGAAACTGCAAAAGACAATAAGCTTAGTAACAGTCGAGCGCTTAATAATTTCACGTGTGCTCGAGAAATTTACGAGACACAAAAGCCAGTAGAAGACCATGACAAAAAACCACAGAAATCTTTAAAACAAACATCTAAACCCAAAGCGACAAAAAAGAGTGTCAAAAATAAGAAAGAATCCCCAGCAACTAAATCAGTTTATGAGCAACTTTTAAAATTTGCAAAATCAAGTTCATCTGCTACAGTTTTAGAAGGGAATAAAAATGATGCACTGGATTGTAAAAGGGATAATACTTTAATTGAAGACTTAACATTAAAGTGCCAAGATAAAAAAAAACGTGGGAACGAAGATTTAGACGAAGATAGAGATTCAAACAAGAAAGTAAAGCTCGATGAAGAGAATGTGCCTGCAATTAAAGATAGAACACGTACCTCAACTAAAGAAGCCAGTATACATAGTTTAGAGAATAAGAATTATAAATCTACCGACAAAGATGATGAATCTAAAGATGTTAAGAATAAAAAAGTATTTTCGACAAAAGAAACTGAGAAAGTAACAAAAACACCGGAAGATGAAAGCCTTAGAATAGAACATGTTCGGACGGAAAAGTTCTCAGAAAAAAAAAATAATAAGCAGAGGAATTCAAAACAATCTACTAGTAAAAGTGAAAAAGTACTTGTAACTGCAGATAAAGCCACTCAACACGAAACAGCAAAGATATTAAAATCATATTTAATGAAGCATTATCCGTCCGAACGTATCCCTGATCGAATTACATTTACGAATACGTGTAGAGAAATGCATCATACTCTTCTTAAGAAAGAAATATTTGGTAAAACATATTTTAATTTTTTATTATATTATTTTTATTAATTAGATATAATAATAACAAAATTGTTTCAGATAAAGTGGGGATACAAAAATTTGTTACAAAATTTTTGAAGCAAAATTAATCATTTGGAAGCTTGTGTATATATTGCAGCATACGTTAAACGAACAATTGTATAAATTTTATTTATCTCATGTACAATTATTTTTAAATCGTAAAAAACGATTATTACTATTTAATTCTAAATATTAGTAAGAAATGATTGTGAAAGACATTTATACTTTTTATTCATATTCATTTAAGTAAATCAAAAATGTATTGCAAGAATAAAAAGATTTGTACTCCATCTCTGATATAATACCATGCTGCTAACTATACCTTTCCTCTTCTCACATTTTCTAAACACCAAGGAATAAGAAACTGATCCAACATACTTTTTTTATAAACATTTTTTATTGAGCAACTGCTATAAATACTTTATATCATGAAAATTTCACTGGCAAGAATTACAATGTTTCTGAATGAAGAACATAACAATTATTTTTATATAACTCAAGGAAACAGAACTCACGCGCGTATACAAAAGACTTAGACTAAATATTACTTCATTTTGTGAATATTCAATATTGTAAATTATGTTTACTATTATAGGAACACAGTTGTATACTATTAGAATACTATTTCCTTAGTTGATTATAATTGTTAACTAAATAAATGTGAATGAGGCAAGATTGGTAATAATGAATGGCTTCCGAATAAGTGTACGAGAATTTACTTACAAAGAAAATTATAGCTTCTTATATCCCTAATATATTACGTTTATCAAAAATTTGTATTACTACGCAATGCATATACATGACTCACTGCTTATAATATAATAATATAATACTTTCAACAGCTCTTAAAACAGCTGTACTTAATACCTAATCAAGTATTTAATTAATCTAATTTATTGCTACACCTCTAATAGCTACGTTTTAAATATGTCCATCGAATGAATCTCAACTGAGAAATTTCCTTTTTCATCTTTTGATTTACTTTTTAATTTCATTTACAACGGTGCAACTAAAAACTGTATTTGTAACATTTAAATCCTTCTTTCATTTTTCATAATTCACTTAATTACTATAACCAATCTATATCAGTCTTGTTCAAATTTTAAAATAATTATTTCTGCATAAGAGAGATAATTTAAACGAATGGGTATATGTTGAAGTAATTAATTTTCTTTGAATTTGCACCGTTCGTATTGACCCTTGATCATTCTGGTTTAATCAGCTTATAATAGAGAAAAATATTATTCACCATGTGATTATTGTACTAAAACAAACACCAAGCGTAAATAATTACTTGTTTCATAATTAACTCTTACTGTGTAAACGTTTTTTTCGGTACCATGAGTGTATAAAGGTGAGTCACTTGCGCTTGGCGCGTTATTCCTATATCTTACAATTATACAGGGAATCCCAGAAAAGTGTTAGAGCAGAAGAGAGGTGATTCTGTAAGTGTTTCTGAACAACAATTTCTTTTGCTAAAATGCAAAGTGAGACATGTTTTTTAAATTATTAACGAAAAATACTGACCAGTAAGAGCACGTGTGAAACCCGCGCTAAGCCACGGCCGAAGCCACCCCTTTTCGGTTCTAACACTTTTTCTAGGACACACTGTAGAATATAACTGAAAAAATGTAAGCAACATCATTTAACGTTTTACTCAGCAAAAGAAATCGAAGTATTTTAGAAAATATTAATTTAATTGCAATATTGGGACCACCTTTATACATCAAGTATTAAAACGGAATTTCAGTAGAACTTATAGTTCATAATTTTTAGAATATATACACGTATGCAATATGCATATGAAATTAAAAGATAAGCTTTTTTCCAAATGCGAAAGCATTGATCTTTTCTTTCTTCGATACGAACATGGGTTCTTCGATAAAATCGAAATTGTGATGTGTCTCGAAATCTAAGTGGTACAAGCTCTATTTGTCCGCATTTATGTGGATAACAGCCTCTGTGTAGAGTTCTATTATTATATTACAGATCATACGATATCCTCTTTCAATGATACATCTTGCGACTCTCCCGTTGCCGTGTTGTTCCCATGCTTTGGCTCAAGCAGCGAACTGTAATAAGTGTCCATCTCTTTGACTTTCGACATCCGTCTATCCAGGAATTGTAACGTTTGATTTTTCATTTCCGAATCTAACCACTTCCGAGATGACATCAGTTTTTTTGGATTGTATAAGAAGAGCCTGTGGATGCTCAGAAGTATCAATACGAGGCCAGTGAGCAGCAAAATATAAGACAAGATATTTTCGGCGACGGGTAGTGCGTTTAAATAAAGCCAGAATCGAACAACCATTGATGTCGGCAGTTCATACATTCCCTAAAATAAAGATATTCGAGAAATTAATATTTCACTTCTTTAGCAAAGTTTATAATTCAATATACTAGTTC